AGCAGGACGAGTGGGTGCCTGTGGCCACAAGCCTCGGGCCTCCTGCCTGGGGGAGGCACCCCCAGGCTTTGCCCCCTGCCCCAGGAGCCTCAGGCAGCGTGATCCCACTGGGCACAGCTCGCCTGGGGACATGCCACCCGCTATGCGGGACCCCAGACCCCTCGGTTCCCCCAGGAGGGTCATCGGCCCCAGAGCTCATCCGGCAGCACCCGTCCCCCACAGCCCGGCCAAATCCCTCAACCTGGATCAAAGCCTGTAGCTTCAATCTGCCTCTGGTTTCATGTACGAGCAAACCAAGTTAATAAATCCAGAGAGAACCACAAACTGAGTGAATAACTTTGCTAAGCACAGGCAGAAATAACGTGAATTGCTCCCGGAGCCATCCATTCGTTCCTCCCTGCTCAGCCCAATGTTCAAGCAATTTGCGGAGAAGCCAGGTCATTTTTGATTATTGTTTGAGAGGTGCTGGCTTTCCCTGCTAATTATAGGCTTGCCTCCAGCTAATACGATTTATAGAAACAAAAGCATTACCAGCACAAACATTGCGCAGGGCAGAACCAGCGCAAGCTGGGAATTTTCCATCCTGAAACGCCGAGGGCTGGGTGCTTGAAACGCCTATTTTATCCGGTCTGAGGCAAGACGGGGTGTCATTGTGATTTATTTTCAGTGAATTGCTGGTTTGGCAGTGGATATGTATCTAAGGGATCGGGTCCATCAGGGAGAGGGGGTTTCTTCGGTGGAAGAATTATTTAGCATCCCCAATGCCGGTTCTAGTCCCCAAGGACTAACTGAAATGGTGCTGGGAATGGGTGGTTCACGCTCCCGGGAAAAATGTATGAGGGAAGTAAAGGGGTGGCCGAGCTGGAGGGGAGAGCGGGGTGCTGTGGGATTGTAGTGTTTGTAGAGCTTATCATCAAATCTCCTGGAACTCCTCATCCTGCTAACGGGATTAGGGGCCCATCCACCTGGATAAATCCCAGAGCAGGCAAGAGAGTAGGCTCTGGGCACCTAGAAAATGCAACAGTGGTTTGATCCTGCGCAGTGCTGAGCACCTGGGGCAGGTTCTGGGGATGCTGCTGGATCAGGCCCAGGGATGGCTGTGCGGGGATGCCAGGGCACAGCGGCCAGCTAAGTACGGCCTCGGGCAGGGCTGGCGTTTCGGCTGCCCTGGGAATTACGGAGCGGGAGGTTTCCTCACCGATAGCCGCTGTTAGCCAGGTCGCTGTCCAAGAGCAAGTCTTTATCCCAGATCATACAAAGGCTGTAAAGAACTGAATACTGGAAAGTCTCTACGGGGACATCCACAGAGTTGGGGGGGGCTGTTCAAGACCTCATGTGTGAGTGGCTGCTCAGTTCCCGTTAGAGATGACTGGGAAAGGGGAATCAGATCCCTCCAGCTATTTTTAGAAATTTCCTGAGACCCCAACCAGCAACAGCCCAGAACAGAAGTTGGTGATGGGGAAAGGCTGCTCCTTAGCTTGTTTTCCTTGTATTTTTCCCCCTCCAGCATTTTATTTCTGGCAACCCAGGTTATACAGCTGGAGGGCTGATATATTTGTGTTTTTTTTCTGGAAATTACCTTTTTGCTTTGCTTCTTAACTCCCTGCAGATGCAAAAGTCTTCTGCAGGGGGGATACACACAGCCTGCAGAGTGCAGAGAAACCAGCCGCCCTCCCCAGCCCGTCCCCAGAGCCAACCCTGGGCCCTGCATGGCCGTGGGGGTACCAGCAGTCCAGTTACACCTGGGAAGCATCCGAGCTGCAGAGGTGAAGGAAACTCGCCCCAGGTCACAGAGTAAGCGAGAACCAGAGTGAGAAGGAAAATCCTCTCTCCCTGGCCTAAGACATCTGTCTTCCATGCTCCAACACACTCTCCTGTATATCATTCAAGTCACTTATACCCCAGGCTAAATTTTGTGCTGTAGCTCCTTGCCAGAGCTGCCTGAGATGAGCCCGATATATTTGTGTGTACGCAGCAGCATACCAAAAGCTCCCTCTGTAAATTTTCCCCCCACTTGTGCTTGTGCACTAGAGATCAAAGCATCCACATGGTCCGTGGAGATGCTCACATGTAAATAGACGAGTCCGCAGTAACCCCCTAACGACATCTTTTTATTATGTTACGAATGTCTGCCTGGATTTGGAGCTTGAATTTTTAAATGAGTTGGTAGCACGGAGTTATTCACCCAGTTTTGAAGCCGAATATTCTTTGCAAAAGAGCTCGAGTTCTTCCCACACCCCGAACATGGAGGGTTTCAACGAGAAGAGTCCCTACTACACCCAGGTTTTGATAGCATGTGTTGGAAGTGTAGGGATGGGACAGGGGCTGTGATGAGAGTCACGCTCTTACCTCCACCGAAGTCATTTTTCAGGCAAGCTAAGATCCATGCACCGACCTCCCTCCCCTCTGCGGCAATTCCCCACATCCTGGGATACTGGGGCTGGCCAGTCGCAGTGGCCTCGGGACCACCAGCTGTCCCCAAAGCTGTTAGTACCACCAGGATGCAACAGAAACATGGGTGCTTACCGGACGGGGACCCCGCGCCGCTCCTCTGCCCGGCTGGCTCCAGTGGTACTGCCTCGCAGCTGGCAGGAGAGGAGGACCCGGGGTTTTGCCTCCCCTCCTCTGTCTGTGCTGCACCCTCTGCAGCCCTTGCTTATATATTTGTTATTTATGGAGCACGTGGTGACATCCTAAGGGGTTTATAACCCCGATGAAAGACAGGGAGAAGTGAGAGGCTTTAAGGTGACAGGCCAGCAAAGGGATCCCATCAGGCTTTTTTTTTTTTTTTTTTTTCCCTGACGTGACTGCCTGCAGAGGGATAAAGCATTTAGCTGATTGCTCTGTGCTGAGTCCCGACTGTGGGCTGGGCAAGGAGAGAGCAGAGGACTCAGCTAGGAAAGGGGAGCAACGTACTGTGCCTGATCCAGACCTCTCTGACAGCGTCAGGAGCCCGTAGGAAGCTGAAGGCAGCCCTGCCGAGCGTGGATGAGCTTTCTTTGTGCTGAGGATGGGGAGGCTGCTGGCCGTGCCAGGCGTGATCATCCCTTGGGCTTGAGCAGTGGGGAGTTTCTCAGGGGAACTGGCTGGCTTCTTGTAGGATGGGAGGCCAGACCTAAGGTTTCTGCCCTGAGGAGCTTACTCCAAAGACCAAGCTTCTCTCCCCCACGCAGCCCGCAGTCCCTGGGAGCTATTACAGAAGAAACTGGATAGGCAAAGCCAGCACTCTTTGTCCCTGTCAGGACGTGTAATAAAAGGGGGATTATCCCAGGCATGAGCTCCTAGAAAGGAAACGACTGGGAAGGTCAGCAAAGATAATAATTAAAAAATGTTGGCAGCATCATTATCATCACGAACCAGATGCAGCCCTAAAGAAGCCCGGAGCAGGAGGCAGAGCTGGCTTTGCTCCACCAGAGTCTTTTCCAGGGGAGCTCAGCACCTGCTTTAGTTTCCAGCCATGGGCAAGTGACCTGGGGCTACACCCTTATCTCCCTCTTTTAAGTTTTTTTTCATGGAATCAAAACAGAAATACGACCCAGCAGCTTTCTGCTCTTCAGAAATGGCATTTCAGAGCAACTCCCAGACATTAAAACTGAGCCCAGCGGAGCAGAGGCTGGCCCGTGGCTGGAATAGTCAAGCAGGGATGCCGCAGTCAGTGGTTTTAGCTGGGTCTCTCCCTGCTCCTACACAGCTGCAGAGGGTCAAAAACTCCATTAACCAAGAGCCACAGCAATGTGCTGAGATTTACGTGTTTAGCAGCTCTCTTAGCATCTTCAAAGAGCCCTGAGCTGTCACTCCAGCCCCGCAGCCAGGCTGCTCCCTCCGTTGGGGTGCCTGCTCAGGAAGATGGCAATTATCTCTGGGTAGGATTTGCAGTGAGGGGCGACACGTGGGAGGCAGATGACTCAGTATTTGTCCCTCGCTCTGCCTGTACTTGGGAATGAAGCAACACACATGCAGCCCAGGGGCTCCTCAGCTGTGCCACACTCTGCCTCTGTCCCCGCCGCAGTGCCCGGTTATCCAGGTGCTCAGGGGGATTAAGTTTCTTTTGGTGGCTGCAGCCTTCGCAGTCCCTTGGCCTCAAGGGGCAGGGTCTGCCGTCACAGGGAATGCAGGGAGCATCAGGGTCCTCCCCCATGTGGCACCATCAGGGAGGTTTCTCTCCCAAACTCACATAATTACCAAGCTGGACACTCCATTT